CACCTCGCCCGTCCTCTCCACGGGCGGCACCTTTTCCGGCGTCGTCGACGATATCTCGCTCGCCATTGAGCGTCTCCGCGAGACCGGATGCTTCCGCGGCGTCGATGCCTACGTCGATCGCGCGCCCCTTGGCGCAGACGCCGACGTCCAGTTCACCCTGTCCGAGAAAAAGCTCTACCAGTTCACGGCCGGCACGTCCATGACCACCGACGGCGAGCGCGAGACCTCCCTCGATACCGCCTTCGTCTGGCGCAACGTCCGCGGAAGGCTGGACACCCTCAAGGCCAGCGCCTCGTGGCTCGGCGGCGGCGGCCCCGGCTCGTACGGCCACCAACCATCCACCTCCTTCGACGTCCACTACACGCAACCCTTCGTGCTCGGCCTCGACTCCTCCGCCTTCGCCCGCGTCGGCCAGCGCTTTAGAAACCACCTGGACCACAGCAGCTACACGCTCAACGTGCGCGACTGCGCCGTGGGCGTCCACCTGCCGCTCGGCCGCTTCTCCGTCAACAGCGCGTGGCGCGAAGTTGCCGCCGTGGATGACTCCGCCTCCCCGCTCATCCGCGAGGAGGCTGGCCACTCGTGGAAGACCAGCCTGCGCCACGAGGTGGCGCGCGACACCCGCGATCACCCCGCCATGCCCACGAGCGGCGCCCTGCTGTCGGCCTCCACAGAGCTCACGCTGCCGCGCCTGGGCGACGTCGCCTTCGCGAAGGGCGAGGCCGAGGCACAGACCCACGTCCCGCTGGGCGCTTCCGGTGCCGCCCTGGCGCTCTCCGCCCGCGCAGGCCTCGTCTGCTCGCGGGAGGGCGCCAGAGTCCGCGTGCAGGACCGCTTCTTCTTGGGCGGCCCTAATTCAATGAGGGGTTTCGACCTCAGGGGAGTCGGCCCGAGGGATGCCGCCGATGCGGTTGGCGGCGATACGTTTTATACCGTCGCCGCCGTGCTATCGACGCCCGTGCCGCAGACGTCGATGCTGTGGCAGCTTTTTAATGCACGCGTGCATGCGTTTTGGTGTGCGGGCGATTTAGCGGATATTTCGGTAGTGAGCAAGGGTGTGAAGAGGGTGATGGAGGGCGGCGGTTTGCAGAACAAGGCAAAGGCGGGGTGGGGGGAGCTGCAAAAGTCGGTAAGGGTCGCTGCAGGGCTGGGCGTTGCGTTGGAAACGTCGGTGGGGAGAGTTGAGCTCAATTTTTGCCACGTCTTGCGCTCGGCGCAGTCGGATGTGCCCAGTTCCAAGTTTCAATTGGGGATTAGCGAGTCGTTCTGGTAAACAAAACCGCTGCGGGGAGCATTGCAAGATGATGGGAAGGGACGCTTGCATGACGGAAACACCCTTGCCAACACCAAAAGGGCAAGCCCGAGGACAAACACATCCACGTCACGAGTTTTCGTCACAAAAAAAAGTACATTACCCATACATTTACAAAACCTACAACCCTTTTCTTACATACCGCCACGCGCCTTGTCCCCTGGTGCATCCGCGGCAACTTTCGGCGGCACCACCAAGGAATCGTAGCTCACCCCGTCTGGAAGCGGGTCCCGATGAGTAGACCGTCTGCCTGTGAACACCGACGACATGCCGTTGTCATAGCTATTGGAGCGCTGACGCTCGGTAAGGCTTTGAATGATATCTTTCCGTCTTGCCAGTAGGCTCGGTTTGGGTCCACTCAACCCACTCGTCCCGCCAACAGCGCGCGTCTTTTTCGGTGCCGCGGAAGGATTTGGAGCGAGCTCCCGCAGCAGACGGAAAACTGGTTCCACGTCAGGTAAATATCGGTCAGCAGCCGAGTTATCGGACTTCCCCCCTACTCGGCAGGCCAAAGTCGATACGCGGCCATCTCCAGTTCTGACATACGTGTTCAAGAATGAGAACACATCCTCGTCTGCCTTATCCGAACCGATTGCAAAGGCAAAGTCAACTCCTTCCGACAGTTCCGAAAGGATTCTTCGCACAGCGTTCACCCGGGACACACCTACGGGGCGCACTTCAAGATACTTGTGGCCAGAAACAACTTCCACAGGCAAGTTCATGGAATTCTCTGCCAACAACAATTGTAATTCCTTGGCCTGCCACGAGCCAAACATCGGGTCGGCATCCCGGAAATGCCAAGTCACAATGTTGTCCTTAGCCTCCAAATGCGCCCCAGGTGTCCTCTCCGTAAAGTATTGCAAAATTGGTATGACGCTGAGTCTCCATGACGTATCGCTGACCGTTATGAGGGACTCCCAAGTCGTCGAGTGCGGGTGTCGATAATCACATCCGTGTTCCGACACGAGACCGACACCGAGGTCACCCAACCAGCTGTCTAACGTGTCCTTGGACCGGCCAGATAGGATATATACAAAGTTGCCAGGATCTGAAGAGAGCCTCAGCAAGAACCTCCTCATTGATAATGTTGGGAAACCGAGATCAGCGAGGGAGACAGGCGCACAAAGGGTGCCTTCATATTCGAGTAGAAACAATCGTTTGGTCCTTGAACGCATATCTGGAATGATATCCACCGACACGCGCAGTAAGGATTGCTTCGGTTTGTGCACATCTTGCATTTTCATCAGTCTTTCAATTTGTTGCAACTCACTAACAAAAGAACGAGCCCAGAACGCTGCAGTATGCTTGGTCACATAGTGATACAACTTCCAATGTTTGAGAGCTCGTTCTCTCTCAGGAACAGTCAGCGCTTCATGCATAGCATTGGCAAGCTCCTCGGTGTTCCACGGGTTGACGCGTATTGCAGAAGAGAGCGATTGGGCAGAACCCGCAAACTCGGACAGTACCAAAACGCCGTGACGCTCCTGTTGACATACGACATACTCATACGAAACAAGATTCATGCCGTCTCGTATTGAGGTCACAACCGCCACGTCCGCAACCGTATACAAGGCACAGAGGTCGTCAAAGTTGACCGACTGATTAATAAACACAATTGGGGCGTACTCAACGCTCCCGTATTGGGCATTGATACGGCCCACGAGTTCGTTTGTCTGGCTGATGAGCTTCTTGTATTCATCGACCTCCGTTCGGGACGGGACGCCAATTTGAACAAGTACGACCCTTTCCTTCCATTCCGGATGGTTGGACAACAGATTTCGGAAGGCCATGAGTTTGTGTGGCACACCCTTGATATAATCGAGGCGGTCGACGCCCAGGAGGACTTTTTTGCCTCGAAACTTTTCTTCGAGCTCGAGAATGCGCTCCTTAACGGACGGGCTCCGTAGCGCTTTAATCCAAGCGTTGGGGTCGATTCCAATTGGAAAGATGCCAACATTGGCAAAATGGTCCTTGTAAGTGACACCCTTTGGGCTGGCGTCCAAGCCGAGGATGCGGGTGCACACGCTGAGAAAATGGCGGGCATAGTCATAGGTATGAAAGCCGATGAGGTCAGCGGCTAAGACGCCTTGCAAGACCTTGCTACGGACGGGCAAAATGCGGTAGACTTCGGAGCTGGGAAACGGGGTATGCAAGAAGAAGCCGATGGTAACATCGCGGATGCGTTTTCGCAGCAAGCTCGGGAGCAACATGAGATGGTAATCCTGAACCCAGACCAAATCGCCCGGTTCATAGACCTGCATAACGGCCTCTGCGAAGCGATGGTTGGCCTTTGAGTACGCATCCCAGTACTTGAAGTCGAACTTGCGCTCACCATCCGACGAGACGATTGGGAGCGGGACGTAATGGAAGAGCGGCCACAGCACCTCGTTGCAAAACCCGTTGTAATAGAGGTTGGCGTCGGCCGCACTGAGATACACAGGGTAACAATTCATCTCCTCCTGAAAGCGGCGGCTCATTTCATCTTGCTCCGAGGTGGCGACCTCGACACCTGTCCACCCCACCCAAACAAAGGGGATCTTGTTCTTAACGCCCGCGAGCGCGGAGACTAGGCCACCGGAGCTGACGCGAAAGTTCCACTCGCCAGACTCATCCTTCCGCACGGTGACAGGGAGTCGGTTGGACACGACGATGAGGCGGGGGCTGGTGGCGCCATGCTGCGAGAGGCCCTCAAGCTTTGTATACGACCTGCTCCCAGCGCTGGAGTGCGCGGGGGTGGCGTCCTGTGCGTCGTCGTCGGGCTCGGTAGGATCACCGCGGACGGATTCGAGCTCGAGATGGAGGCGGTGGATCTGGGACAGGATCTCTGCTTCCGTGGGCTTGGCGGGGAGGTCGTCCAGGTCATCGAGCTCGTCCGAGGAGCCCGCCGAGGCCGACGAGAGCAGGGTCGTGCTGGACGCGGGGAAGGGCGGCATGGGGAGCGGGGCATGCGGCGCCGAGGGGGTGAAGGAGGGGGAGGGGGAAAAGGGGGAAAGGGAAGGGAAGGGGGGGGGGGGGGGGGGGATTTTCCAGAGGGGCGAGTACTGTCTTCGGGAGTGGTCGA